CTGAAGCCTGTAATTTATTTCCTATAAACAAGTGTTTTGCGCCCTGCTTGGGAGAAGGTGTCTAGTCTAAGCTTTGTGACAAAGCACTATTGGGCGCAATGGAACGAGTTAAGGCTTGAAGATGGTATTCTTCTCAGGAGATGGGAAACTACAGATGGGAAAGTTACGACTTGGCAAACAGTTACACCGAGGAAGTTACGGGAAGTTGTGCTGCGTCAATCTCATGATAATTTAACAGGAGGACATCTCGGAATTAGGAAGACATTGAGTCATCTACGACAAAGATTTTACTGGATAGGTATGAGGCGAGATGTGGAAGAATGGTGCAGGACATGCAGTACATGTAGTTCTAAAAGGGGACCCAAGCATAAGGGATGCCCACCTTATGAAGAGTTGCCAGTGAACATGTCAGAGTTTGTGGAAGTGTTATCAGAAAGGATGGGTGATATTCACCATCAAGTGCGTTCAAACTTGAAAACGTCTGCTGATTCGATGAAGTTATCTTATGATAAGAGATTTACTGAAGTCAGCTTGGAACCAGGAGACAAGGTATGGTTGTATAATCCCAGGAAGACCAAAGGGAAGTCTCCTAAGTTGTATTCTCCATGGGAAGGCCCATATGACATAGTGGATCGTCTCTCAGACGTGACTTTCCGGGTAAAATGTGGTCGGCGAGGTAAGCCAAAAGTGGTGCATGCCAACAGGCTTTGGCATTATCACGGTCTAGGACATTTCAGTTGGGACGAAGTGGAAAACAGAACAAATGACGCTGCTGAAAACGTGCCACATGAAGAAGCCACCGTCGAAGAAGAAACTCTACTCAGTTTTGAGAAGGGAAATGGTGAAACTCTTGATGAAGTTACTACCACTGATGTGACTGTTACTGACGATAGGACATTTCCTGATGATGCAAATGAACTCCACATGAAGCAGAAGCCAACAAGACGGAGACCAGTACGGAAGAAGATACGTCCCGTAAAATTAAGAGACTTTGTTGAATTGTAATTTTGTGATTGTATTTCTGTACATTTAATTAAGTTATTGTTAATTGTTATTGGTTTATTGTATGTGGCTATTGTTCGGGACGAACAATACTAAGGAGGGGCAGTGTTGCGTCAGCGAGGTCACGTGACTCGTTCTCTCGAACCTTCGGGAATTGATGGGAGATTACTAGATATAGGGTAGTCTGGTATATATAAGAGGGTGACAACGCGACGGGACAATAATGTGTGTGTAGACAGTGAGTAATTGATCTGCAGTAAGAGAGTATTATTGAGCACGTTCGTTGTTATAGCGTTTGTTTTAGCGCGATTGTTGAAATTAAGTGTATCGTAAAGTTATATTCGGAAAAAATAAACCAGTTTTATTAAGTAAGGACTTGTGTCGCTAAAGTTTCGTCGGAACGAAGTTACGGAAAGTTAATTAATAAACGGAGACGTAACAGAAAGTTAGCATATTTTCATATGCTTACGCATGCTTTATTTAAGGCTCTTCGTTTTCTTTGTGCTGAATCTGTGATTCACAGAAGAGGTGGGGCTCAAGATTTACGGTATATAGGAGGTATGATTGAGTTTAGACCTGTAGTAGGGTCTTGTTTTAATGTTGCTAATTTATCTTTGTGTGGAATTCCTTTTTTGGCTGGTTTTTATTCTAAGGATTTTATTTTGGAAAGTATGTCTTTTTATAAATTTCTTATTTTTATTTTCTTTGGGATTTCGGTAGAATTAACCGCTTGTTATTCTTTTCGATTGTTTTTCTATGTTATGGGACGAAATTTCTTAATGTTTTTTAGAAATTTTTGGGGAAGGGAAGGTTATAAGAGTTTCTATTACTTTTTTGTCTTTTTAGGCAGTTATTATAGGATCTACTTTAATGTGAATTTTGTTTCCTGTGCCTTGTTTTGTATTTGTACCTTTTTATTATAGGGTTATAAGGGTTTTATGTGTGATGATTAGGTTTGATTGTGTGAGGGGTAAGGAGGAGATATTTGTTTTTTTTTCTGGGGGGGGGGGAGTTTTGATCATTTTTTTAGGGATTATGTGATTTTTACCTTGATCATCTTCAAATCCTATCTTATCCAAGTTAAGTTTAGGGGATTATTTTTTGAAGAGTGATTTGAAGTGGGAAGAGTGAATTGGCCCTCAAAGTGTTTTTTTTTGGGGGGGATGATGATGGGAGCTACGATTTTTCAGGATAATAATTTAAAAATGTAATTGGCATCTTTTGCAGTTTGGATCATGGTTTTTACTTTTTTAATATATCCTTATAGCTTATGATGCTAGGGAAGTTAGTTAACCTGGGGATATTGCTAGGGTAAGTTACCCATTTTAATAATGAAAATATTAAGTGTTGTTTACACTATAGAAATAAAACAGAATTTAACCGATATGGAAGAGTTAGCAGTTCTTCTAGTTCATTCGTATTTCCTCAATAGGAAATTGGTTTCAGTCTTCTCATTAACAGTGAGATGCCTCTTGTTTGGCTTCTATTGAAAATAGAGGTTTTTAACTAAGGGTTCAGGGCGAAACTAAATGCAAATTTTTGCTTTCTATTTTGTTAGGTAAGATTGGGTTTTCCAATAATTTTGGATTGCAAATCAAGTTTTATAATTTAAATACTTACCTTAGTTTTCTCATTCCAGTGCTCCTTGATTTCACTCGTGGAATAGACCTGGGATTAAAATTATGAGGAAGATGGAGAGTGTGATTATGGAGTTTTTTAGGGAGGTAATAGGGCAATTTCTACATCAAAGTAGGTACTTCAGGCGTTTACAAATGCCAGAATCAATGTCCGTCATGGAGAGCCTTCTCCTTGTCTGTTTTGATGTAGCACTTCTTTTGCTATACATCTGTTCTGCACAGTTCCTGGTGCACAAGCTCATGTTCATCTGCACGTGCTGTTCTTAACCACTATACAAATACCTCTGGACATTATGGTGTTGCAAAGTTAGAAGTTGGCCATATATTACATCTACAGTGGTAGTCGTTTCCCGCTCAAATATAAACATGTGAGTGAAATAACAAGTTGCCATATGTTTTGTTGACATTATTAGATATACACGACTTTTTCCGTATAAGTTTAACGTGATAGTTATGATTTAGATAGTTATATTGAGCAAGTGTTATATTTAGCTATCTTTAGAGGAAATAATAGTTCATCAGGTTATTTACGTAATTCTTACGAATCATATGTTGTGTAGATCAATAGTTATGAATTGGGGATTGTTATATTATTGCTTCATGTTACTAGAACCTTCCGAGTCTTTCTCGTTATTTTAATTGAGTATTATTGCATCATAATATCTAATAGTTTGTGGAGTGTTCCAGACCTCTTTCGCGGTATAAACACGCGTCGGAAATTTAATTAGATCTAGACTGCATGATTGTGAGTTTAGCCATAGAGTGTATAGTGGTGATTTTTAAATTGAAATTATCACAAATTGTATTGTAATAACAGAGTAGAGAAGAGTAATTTGTCTTGTTGATTTGGTTCTAAGTTACCTGAATCAACCAGTGTGGACTTTGGTGAAAAAGATATAATTATTCAAAGCTCTCGACATAGTTGTGGTAACCATGAGTTATAGTGATGATTTTAAAGTGAAATTACCTCATATTGTATTGTAATAACAGAGTAGAGAAGAATAATTCTTCTTGTCAAATTGTGTTCTAAAGTAACTGAGCCAGCCTGTTTGGATTTTGATAGAAAAAAAGAGACAATTATTTAAATCTCTGGATACACCTGTGATAACCAACAGTGTAACGAGCATTTGTATATACGTTTCACTTGTTTAATATATACTATTATACAACAAGTGGACTGTGTGCTGTTTGTTTATTGGTGAAATTTATCACCAACAAATCACAGACACCTACTGAAAAGAATCTGGCCCATACATAAAATCTGATACACAGCATGCCATCATGACATACTGCAACTGTTCATTCCAATAAGTTTGACTGTGATTAATAGAGTAACGAAGTGTGAAGTCATGTTACCATGTCAACAAGCACACTGGTTCTAAACAAATTACACATGGTCGACTTCATAGGTACAAACACATTGAAAATGGTGCAGTGTTTCGTACCCGACTGCAGTCACCAGTCCTAGCCAGAAACCTGTTCATTTTTTAGGTTCCCCAAAGGAGAAAAAGAAAGGATGAGATGGATTAGATTAATAAAGTAACATTTCACCTGTAGTCACATATTTGTTTGTAATTAAGCACAAAGCTACACAATGGGCTATCTGTGCTCTGCCCACCACGGGTATCGAAACCCGGATTATAGCGTTGTAACTCCGCATACATACCACTGTGCCACTGGGGGCGTATTCGTATACTTATATCCAAACTTTGTCAAAGCAAACGAGTCACGAATCCGTCTCCATCAAAGTCAAAGTCACGACAGGCCAAACTAAAGCAATATAAAGTTTCTCACATTTCCCTCTCTACTGAACTTTTCTCATTATGAAGTAGGGTTATTTAATTCAGATTATTAATAACAAACACATGTGGCAATCATTATTTAAGTTGTCTAAAAGTTTCTTCCACCTCACCCAAGACATGAAGAATCCAACACAATAATAATAATAAGCAAATAAATAAAGAATTAGAATTGATCTTACACTACAGGTTTTATTTGAACTCGAATCCTATGTTAAGTCCTACACAGAGGTACCAAA